CTTCTCCGGCTGGCAGGAGGATGGAGAGCCCCAGCAGTGGGGTGAAAAGGAGCTGCTGACATCGCAGCTGCTTTGCTTTCCTAAACTCTGCCCAACATTATTATTTATTCCTTTTTTTTTTTTTTTTTTTTAAAAAAAAAAAGGCTTTTTAAAAAAAGGCTTCTTCCTTCCCCTTTTCTTCCTGGCTTTTCTCTTTCTGGCTGCCTGTCTCCTGTCTGCTTTCTTTGCCTCTTGCAACATCTTGCATCAGGCTTGGAGCAGAAAGTGCAGCCATAAATGGCAACACACGGGGCCTGGGAGTTTAATCCAAGACGATTTTCTCCCCCTGCTTTGCAGCCTGGGATCTTCCCTTTTCCCAGAGCCGGAGTGGGGCACTCATTTGTCCCCATCCTGCCCATAGATGCTGGGGCTGTCCCTATCACCGAGGACAGGGAGAGGGACACACCAGCCCCACAGCCTCCTGCTGTCCCTTCTGAGAAGGGAAACTCCTTGCTCGGAGGCATTTGTGCCAGGGATGGAGGAAGCGGGGAGGAAATGACCAGAAATGAGCTGAAAACCAGATGATGCTGCGATGGGGAGCCCAGCCTCCGTCTCCCATCGGGCTGGGAGAGGGCTCGCGCAGTGGCAGAGCTATGTGGGGGGATTTTGGGGACACGATGCCAAGCTCCTGCATCAGAGCCGTCTTCCCCTGGGAGACTCAGGGCTGTCCATGGTCAGTGCTGCCCGTGCCCAAAATGTCCTTGAAGGTCTTGTCCTCACTTCTGCTTTGGTCCAAAGCCTCCGCTGCCGGAGTCAGCTTCACGCGTGGGCGTCTCTATTGTTGGCCATGGAAGCTAAAGGGCAAAGGCACATTTCCAATGATCCAACGAATGCTTCATCTCTAAAGCCAAGAGCTGCCAAAAGCCAAGACAGATGTATCGCCGCGTTGTTATTTAAGGTAAATGACTTGCTGGATTTTAACCCTGCGGTGGCAGGCGCTGGGCTTTCCAGAGCCACTGGCAAGCTCTACAGAGGTCTGATTTGGACATAAGCAGGCACGGGATGTGCTGTGGAGTGGGCTGGGTCCATCCCACCCACAAGCGGGAGCGGGCAGGGAGCACAGGGCACGTTCCTGGCGCTGTGTGGCCTCGGCGCCAGGCAGCTGACGACAAACGCGTCCCCTTGCCGATGCCAGCGGCAACGTGATCTTTGTTTGCCGCAGCAGCTGGCCTGGGTGGCCTGTGTCAAGTCTCCTCCAGATGCTCCCAGATAATGATGTGCGTGGTCTCCCTGCAGTGCTGCTTCTCAACTTTTTTTTTTACTTTTTTT